GAATAAACCAGTTTTATTAAGTAAGGACTTGTGTCGCTAAAGTTTCGTCGGAACAAAGTTACGGAAAATCAATTAACAAACGGAGACGTAACATTATCATTTAACTCAGTTTCAGGCTATTCGAAATTATAATATATTAAGTAATAATTTGGAGACTCGTCCGGGGTGAATTGTAATACGTAACATAATTTATAGTCAGCCTATAAAATGCTCACGTATTAAGAAATCAGTTTTATTAGGATAATAACGTCGAAAAACTGCAAACATGTGATTATTTAAAAACATATTTTGTCTACTACGTTTAAATCGAGTGTTATATTGGAACATCAATCATATTCCTAATGTTGTAAAACTTTCAAGTCCTACATTTATATGTTGAAAGCATTTGAGTACAAAGTTTCGTGTATCACATATTCATGTTTCATAGTTTTTATCGTACTAACTTCATAATGCCTCAGTTCATTCATCAAATCGTCTTTTTTTTTTGGCAAAGTAGAATACTTATTAAACAGTACGTTTTCAACCATTTCCTGTCAAATGTTATTTCTTTCAGTTCAAAATGTTGCGTCGTTTAGGCTTTATCAACATACACGTCAAATTGAGGTTGGTCAGGATGAGCTGTATCTAGTATGCAAAAAACAAACAAACAAACGCAATCGAACATTTTGCTAATAATTGTTTTGTCATTCATATTATATTCTTAATGTTTTCAGAGTGTACTCTATGGACCTGTTGAATTTAATTCTGTGAACTGCAGGCACCAATCTCAAGTATGACGTTCACAACTGAACAACGAACAAAGATAGTGGAATTCTACATCGCCAAAGAATCCAACAAAAAGACAGAATCACTGTATCGTCGTCACTCCTGTGTTCAAACTAGACTTCTTACTATATGGTTACTGCAAAGATAACGTCAACGAGGACAATCCGCGAACAATTCAAGAACTGAATGGAGTTATCACATTCTTCATACGTCGAATTCCAGTGGAATTCAGAACCTGGCAGTGAGAATCAATGCCTACCTGAGAAGACATCTTGCATATTGTCGTCACATCGAACACATATTGCATTTCCGTAATGAGGACGACTTGTCAGAAAAACATTTTCAATAACTGGTTTGTGTGCAAATAATTTAAAAAGTATTAACAGAACCTTCGATTCTGTTTTTGGACACACCCTGTATACCGTTGTAGTCCACCAAGGATATTAATAATACAGAAAACTATTTGACACTTCTTGAAGAATCTTCATATATAATAAACTTAGTATCTCTTCGAACAGTGCTCTTGCTATTCGTTATACATAAAAAAAAAGATACAAGAAAAAATGAGATCCTTCTGCAACTACCCACATTCGAACAAATGGCTTTCGTAGTAATGTAAATTAGTAAGTTAAACATTAATTTCTTAATACAAACTCAAAGCAAACTTTGCTTAAATTTAACAAATATAAACCTTAAAACAATATAATAAAATTATTTATAAATGCAATAAATCATAATTTCTAAAAGTACTAACAGAGAAAAGCTACAGATTTCAAGAGATTTACTTACATTACAGATCAAAATAATTTACCCGTTCTGTTGTTTTTGTTTGCTCATTTGTTTTTTACAACATTATGTTTACGCGAACAATAAGAACAATAATATTCTATTAAATGCTACTGGAATAAGGGAAGAGACCATGTCACTTTCCTGTTTATGTAAAAGGTCAGAATTAACATATCTGTACTGAAAGATCAATTCGACCCAGAGAGGAAACCAACCCTAATTAACTTTGAATTCAGTCATTACATTTCTATGGCAAACAAAGTTTGAACACTTTGATCCTAGTGTTCTGCTCAATGCTATTATACTGTATCTACAAACATTTTACCTTGATTTTCTTATCATTACGTTACAGTAATGTAAGTATTTAAAGAAGCAACTCACACTAGAGTCTGAAAGAGAATACGCTTAGATATCATAATCATTTCTGATTTATTTGTTTTTCAGTGCAAGCATATTTTTCTGGAATTTTGCAGAATCCAAAATATATACATGAACTAAAGCTCAATATGTAAAATAAATGTACTAAGATTAACGGTTAAAATGATACCATCAGCATAGCTATGATTCTGGTTACTTTCCTTTTCGCCATTCTCTCCTAGCCTTCTTTGTTTCTTAACAGTATGGTATAACATGATAAATACGTTCATTTTAGTTAGTTCACTGTTTCAACGTTCAGAATGTACCATTGCAACGTAAAATGTTTTTCTATTGTTTTTTTTTGTATTTAGCATAGAACTATCTAAATATTAACATATTTAGTTCATAGTGGATTGAATAAGTCATAACAGCCTTGTAATTTGTAGTACAATTTTTGTTTTTGTTTGTAGATAAGCGCAATGCTACACAATAGGCTATCTCTGATCTGCCCACCACGGGTATCGAAATCCGGTATCTAGCGTTGTAAGTCCTCAGCCATCCCGCTGTGCCACTGGAGAGCCACTATTTGTCTTTGCTGTCAATGTTTCAATTATTGATATTCGAAACATGATTGAATTACAATGTGTCTGTAGTTAGTCATGTACTTTGTTCAATTCAAAGTATATTTTAAATTATTTTTAAACTTTGAAATTAAGAAAATATAAGGTTGAGTACGTTATATTAAAACGACTTTGAATATGTAAATCAACAAGTCACGAGACAACAAAGCCGTTATAAAGTCTCGGTGATACAGAATGGTTTTGTTTGGCATTACGTAGGTAGAGTGATACTATCGAAAATTTATCGCTTTGGGGAAACGGATGTAACAGCCATTATCGATGTAAAATATTCACACATTCATATCATAAAGATATTTTTGGAGCATTGGAAGATAAAGAAATATGGAACAACTTGGAAATACAGGACTATCCAGAAAAAAACCTGGAAAGTTTTGTGACAAACGCTGTCCACGTGCCCCAGGCAACATAACGTAACATAATCATGAAGGATCTTCGTCTGGAAAAGTGACACAAGTCAGGTCTACATAAGTTACTTCTATGACATATTCAGTCAACCCTTGCATACCTTAAGGAGCTGGAGAATGAAACAATATTATGTGTGATCGGACTGCTGAAACGGGCGCTGGGAAACCGTCGTCCTTGTACACTAGACGGATTATTGAAAGCTTCCGGAAGGGTTGGTGCACTTTGTACATGTGAGCTTTACGTCGAAACCTTTTTGCTATGAAAATTATGCTGCAGAGCTATTGCCAAGATGCACAGTCGTCAGATAAAGCATGGCGTTTATGACGACATGGAATGCAGCGAAGTGATGAGGTTTGAAACATATTTGAATATAAGGTACTAAGCCATCTATATATAATTTATGGATAAATTTAGAATAAAAAATACAACGTTTCATCAGAGTATCCAGCATTAAACAGGTTGAGGGTGGTAATAACACAACAAAAATTATTTTGTTTTTAGAGTGTATAGAATATATTGAAACTAGAATCCATTCCACATATTACAAATAGATTTTGACATTTCTGAAATATTAAGTACTACATAAAATAACATTACGTTTGATATATTAATATAACATTTTTGCCCCCGGTGGCTCAGCGGCATGTCTGTGGGCTTGTAACGCTAAAAATCGGACGTCGATACACATGGGTAGTTAACTGATAGCCCATTGTGTTGATTTGTGCTTAACTACAAAGAAAACAAAAACGAGATAATTTTATCCATACACTAGAACGACTATTAGACTAAGTGTACTATACCTGTTACTATCGTATACCAATTGGGATAGGAATTGCTTGGGTAGATTGGTGTTACGAACTCTGCTCGAACGCCATGTTCAGCAATTCTGCGAAATCCTAATAAATTTTCTTGTTCGTCCACATAGTTCCAGCGACAACCGTCTACAAGAATCAGGAGAAGTTTCTGTTGACTTTTCGCTGAAGAGCAATGAGCAACAGCAAGAATAACACACAGGGTGAAGCTGCAGAATCGAATCATAGTGGCAACATGTAATAACCTAGTATAGGCTAAGACGCTACGTTCTTCTTTAGTACAAAGGAACTCGTCTACGACTGTTGATCAGTTATACTAAACTGAGCACATCCAGTGAGCATACTATCAGCCTATGAATAATCAGCTTGTTGTTTTAGAGTTTTGTTTTTTTAAATACGACGCCATCTAAAAGTGTAGGATATGAGCTGCGTGCGCATCTTCGTATTTTTAGACTAATGGAATGAATAATCAGTAAACGATTATTTATACAACATAGACTTTTCATCCAAAATATGTCTAAGAACGTCATATTAAAGTCTGAGTTTCCTTTGAAATTAATAGCTTCAAGGGTAAGAAAAGTTTTAATTCAACTTCGTAAAAGTTCCTAAGAAAATCCGATTTAACCTACCTACAACTATATACGCAAAGATAAAATATAAATGAATGTCATTTGGACTTTATTAATAAGAATTTTTATCAAATACAAGCTTATTGATCAAGAAATACCAGCCATTTAGTGTCCGATTTTCGGGAGTGAAAAATTACCAGCAACATATTCTGTAATTTGGTACTCGATTTCTGTCTACCATAATTATGCTCGGTCGTTAGAAGATCTTTGAGACTTTATAATGTTGTGTAAAATGACCAACCTACCAAAGCAACTAGACTTACTGCATGGACTTGAAAATGTGATGAGACTTACACTTGGTTGTAGCGCAGAACACGAAGAACAAGTCTTTAATAGTTTATTATTTAGATGCCAATCTATATTTCTACATCTTGTTTTTGTCATTTTGAACATGTATTTAATTATTATCCTGTGTTTAACACTAGTTATGGAATGTTCAGGAACTGAAGCATTTCTGTCTTGGATATGGATTCCAATGATAAAGGTATTAGAGCAATGATATCCTGGATATTGATTCCAGTGATAAAGGAACTGGAGCAGTGCTTTCCAGATGCCCCCAGTGGCATAGTGGCATATTTGCGGACTTACATAGCTTGAAACCGGATTTCGATACCTGTGGTGGGCAGAGCAAAGATAACCCATTGTGTAGTTTTGTGCTTAACTTCAAAAAACTAAACAACAACTAAGCTTTCCTGGTACATGATGGCACGCGTCGTGTAATCACTTTGGTCGTTTTAAGGCCATTTACTATGCACAGCATAGAAAGAACTGTTTGCATTTATAATGGTTTGTTAAACATTATTTATATGGATGAGTTTTCACAAATTAGAATGAATAATGCATCACCAAAACGACTCGTTATCTTAAAAATACCAGAAAGTATAATAATACGTTGAACAATTACACTATACAAGACTACATTCACTACGTTGAAAAACTACACTATACAAGAGTACATTCACTACGTTGAACAACTACACTATACAAGAGTACATTCACTACGTTGAACAACTACACTATACAAGAGTACGTTCACTACAGTACCCTGGTTCAGCAGCATAGAAATGCTGAAGATTCCTCCACATATTGGTGGGAATGTGTCCATTCATAGAATGTCTTACTCTGTCTTTGTTTGAGCCCACATAAGTGTTGTGATTTACTAATTAATTCCTAGAGCTTTAAAGCAGGAGACTCTTTATTACTTGCATGATACGTTAGTTAGTAATATTATGTTATCATCTCAATCAGCCTGCTCTGATCTATCAACTTGACAGTGTGTAATTCTCGACTATTAGACTGACGATTATAAGATGAAGTGAGCGTCTTCATCACACCTAATACTTATCAAAATTCAGCAAAAGCAACCTACTAAAGTTCACTCATTGGTTTATGTGTATTTCTATGTTCTTCACTCATTGGTTTATGTGTATTTCTATGTTATTCACTCATTGGTTTATGTGTATTTCTATGTTCTCACTCATTGGTACGTATGTAGCTCTTCATGTGGTTAAAGCGAGAAATTATCTGCTAAACTACTTTAATATCCACACATTGCGCTAGGATGTTAGCGACAGGATAAACTTCCGCCTAGTTGTTAAAATACTTGAATATAGTCAACACACACATATATGTATGGTTCTAAGAAAGATCCGGCAATATTTATATGGTCTCGCATTGGATATTCTTTTGCAGTTTTCCCCTGGTGTAAAGCTGATCGTTTGAGCAGTATATACAGTGGGTATGCGGCCAGTTGAACTGTATGTACAAGTTGATCACAGTTCGTGGAAGTCCATGATGTCTTTTAACTCCTATATTATGTAAAGAGATTACCAGATGAATAACAATACACAAAACAAACAAACAAAAGACAAAATATTCATATATAAATCGCAAAGGTTTTTTCATCGTACTTGCATTTTAGTGATCCGCGATAGTTTAGTGAGATAGCGAGCCAGACCCTGGTATCGAGGAGGTTAAGAAATGCTGCTTTATAGCACTGGTTGGACCAGGATGTTTAGAGATAGATATAAGAGTGCAAGAGTCAGACCAAGATACGAGTAAAGTACACAGTGTGGTCACAAGTAAATAGACACCACCTTTTCAGAAAAAAATAAAAATTTTCAGTCATATTCACATGAATTGATATATTTATAATTTAATTAATATCTAGTAGATCTTCCTTTCGCTTCGTGGAGTCCATTGACCCTTTGGGGCATCGTGAGAATCATCTCGTCAATTTTAGATTGTGGGATTTTCGGCCACTCTTGCTTCAAAACTTGGAGTAGATCGCTCTTCGAAGTTGGTTTTTTTTGGTTGTTTCTTGACTTGCCGGTCGAGTATGGCCCAGGGATTTTCGATGGGATTCATGTCAGGAGATTAGCTCGGCCAGGGCAACTTCTGGATACCATTTTCCTCCTGCCACTTTTGGATGTTTCTAGCAGTGTGACACGGTGCTCCATCTTCCTCGAACAACGTTGTGTTCTTGTCCACGAAACCTGAAGAATAAAGTCTAGCTGCTCTGCAACGATAACCCAATCTGTGGAGAATCCGTTGAACAGATTTTGGGCTCATCCCACCAACTTCGGTCACTTCTGCAGTCGTTAATCTGGGATCCATTTCGATGCTCCTCTTGACAGTCCCTTTTTGTCCTCTTCGATGGACCAGGACGACCCGGACGCTGCTCAGTTGTTTCCTTGCCATATTTCCTGAACTGCACGATGATTCTGTTGACTGTCGATAGCGGGATT